AAAAAAAAAAATAAAAAAATAGACCTCTCTGCATTGAATCATATTTGTTATTAATCTCTTTCTCTCTTCCACAGCATGTCTTTATTCTGTTTTCCTTCTCTCAACCCAACCTGTCGCAGCAGATGGCCCCGCCCCTCCCTGAGCCTGGTTCTGTCTGAGGTTTCTTCCTGTTAAAAGGGAGTTTTTCCTTCCCACTGTTGCCAAAGTGCTTGCTCATTCAGATTCAGAAGACTTTATTTATCCCCGAGGGGCAATTGAGAGACTGACCTTGCCGACCGTACATACAATACACAAACATCATATTGGGGAGACAGGTCAGGGTAGGTAGCTGGCCGGTCAGCCGCATGAGCAGCGACCCAGAACCGAACAATTGAAAATACAAAACATCAGGAAAGACAATGAGGAAAAAAAGAACTCCCCCCAGACTGAGCTCCAACAGGGAGATCAGTTTGAGAACAGAAAAAAAAAACACCGCTGCGCATAGGGGGTCATATGATTGTTGGGCTTTTATCTACTGTACAATATAAAGCGCCTTGAGGCGACTGTTGTTGTGATTTGGCGCTATATAAATAAAATTTAATTGAATGTACCAAAGTACTGCTGAAGTACTGTTCGTAGTTTTTTAATGAGTTTTGGGTTTTATTCCCCTGTTTGTTTGTTTGCTTGTTTTAAACACTGAGCTCCTCATTTTCTTCTTCTGTGGTCAGAATGAATGTTAACGTTTAGCTTCAGATAAACATGATGTTCATCTGCTGCTGACCTTTGACCTCAGCCGTTTGTGAGGGAGGAGGCGGGAACAGGGAGTGGAGTGTTCTCCTCACCAGTGAATGGGAGAGTGTGGGGCGGGATTTAGAAACAGCAGTTCAATAGGGAATGCCAGGGGGCAGAGCCTGAGACGTCCATTTTCACACAGAGCAGTGGTGAGCCTACACAGAACTACTGTATACAGCATTTCTGCAGTATTACTGCACTAATCCTAAAATAATTTTACTGTGGCATATTTGAAGTACAGTCTGTAGTACTGGTACCTCTTCTATATGCTGTTCTTCTCTTCCTCTTTCTTCTGTGGTTGCAGATGGACTCATCGGCGCCTCCTGGCCTCTCTCTGGTCTCCATCTTGTCTCTGTTAGCATGCAGTGGCCAGCTGTTGGCAGCTGTCCTGCTAACACGCAGGTATTGTGGGCGGAGCTCTACACAGAACTGGTGGATCTTGCTGTGGCTCTTTTATGATGTCATTGTCCACCTGACGCTGGTATGCGGTGCTTTATTCTTAGTTATTCCCGTCTTCATCATGATGACAAAAAACGTTATTCAAGTTTCAGCTCATCTTCAAAATTAGACTCATTTCATAAACACTTTGTTTTTGTTTATTCTTGTTTATTTTTTATTTTTTAGGAAGGTCTGTTTGTTTACATGTCTCTGATTTTTGTTTTTTTAGGAGGGTCCGTTTGTTTACATGTCTCTGGTTGGGACAGTGGAGGCTTCTGACGGGCCACTGGCTGAGCTCTGTGAGTATTTTGTAAATACACTTCAGTATTTCCAGGCAGTGTTAGTTTGATCTGAAGTCCAGTATGAGAACAAAGTAGTGAAGTACTTTTACTCACAGATACTGTAAAAACACACTATTTGGTACGTCATTTGGGATGTTTGACTTCTTCTCACCTGTCTTGCCTGTAGGGAAGGAGTACGGGAAAGCCGACAGTCGCTGGCTGGTTTCTGATCCGACGATCGTCTCCATCGAGATCCTGACCGTCGTCCTCGACTCGCTGCTGGCTCTCCTGCTTATACACGCAGTACTGAAGGACAAGTACTACAGGTAACACTTCCTGTACTGCAGTTACTGTGCTGCTGGTACTGCTTGGTACTGATGTTAATGGTGTAACCAATCTGTCAGACACTTCCTGCAGATCGCTCTGAGTGTGTGCGAGCTATACGGCGGCTGGATGACCTTCTGTCCCGATTGGCTGCTGGGCAGCCCTCACCTGAACACATCCTCCGTGCTCTACCTGTGGGTCTACCTGGTCTTATTTAATGGAGTCTGGGTCCTGGTCCCAGTCCTGCTGCTGCTCCAGTCCTGGTTCAGCCTAAGGAGTCTGCACGTGCTCAGAGTGGACCAAAGCAAAGCAGCTAAAAGACAGTGATGTCACTGATATGGTTTAAACTGATCGATGGCTGAGTCCGAGGATCATTTAAATATTCATCTGATGTCAGAATCAATCACCACGATCAATCGTTTGAAAAATAAACATTTTATTATAGATACAGTTTCAGTGCCTTAAATTATTGCTTTGGAACATCTAACCACATCTCCCCTGTCTTCTTTGCACCACCATTCACCTCCTCCCTCCCTCCCTCAGCTCCTTTGGATCATCTTGTTGACGGAGGTGAAGGCCTGCTGGAGGCCGAGTCCCTTCAAGGTGCTGCAGGCCTGAATCTCCCATAGTCTGTCAGTGACTATAACTTTCTACAGGACTGAATATAATATCTTTATGTAAAAGCCTGGAGCCTCTGGGGAGTATCCGAGTATTTATAACATTACACAAACCAAAGGTCTCCATCACAGTGTTCATGAAATGCTTGGTTTATTCATTTCCTGCTGAAGATTTCCCTGTGAGGGAGCTGCTGGCGAAGATCATGAGTCCTGCTTGATCAATGCGATGAGCTTCAGTGTTCCTGGTGTTTCTTAAATGATGCCTTTCTCAGCGGGTCAACAGAACTTCTGGCACAGGACAGCTGTGATGAAAGAAAGGGAAGAAGTTTCTCCAAACCTCTGGACCCAGAAACCCAGCTTGGTCCTGATGGTCTCCCTCACTAGTTTCTCTCCAGGGTGACTGTAGCTGTTGATATAATATGGACTCTATTATTAAATGAAAAGAACAAATTAGACTACACTACTGAAACGTTCTGCTGATGTTTTTAAAGTCTCCATGTTACCAGGCTGTAGAGGGCTCTGAAGATTTAAACAGATTTAGATCCATTACACTAACAGTCTTATGTTAAAATCTCAAAGGACAGCATTATATTTTTGACATTAACAGTAACTCTGGGCCTCTGTAGAGTGTGCAGCTGATCTCGTCGCTGTCTAAAAATGGATTTAACAAAAACAAGTGCTAAATCCTTCAATAACACAGACTATTAGAGTAGCAGGTGTGTAGCATCGCTAACTAGCTAGTAACAAGCCTCCAACACAGTGCATATGCTAGCGGCTAATGTAGCGAACGAATTAACAACAGAGTGATTTTAGAACTAGAAGATGATAAGCTGTGTTTCTTTTTTTTATAACAGTGACATGGTTGTATTTACCTTAATTAAATGAGTCGTCAGTCGCGGTAAACCAGCAAAAAACTCGGGCTACATAAAAAGTGTAGGGGGGCGTGATTGCGGTCACGTCCAGTGGGTGTGTGGGCGGGAGCGTTACACAGTCGCTCCACCTCAAGTCACTACTGCGCAGACTCTGGCTCCAAATTTGCAAGATGGCAGCCTCCACAAGCGGGATATTTTGGCTTCAGTTTTGCACAATGGGAGGAGGCAGGGTCGCGTCGTCCATCTTTTATACAGTCATTGGTCGAAAGCATCGGAGCGGCTACAACCATTATCATCTGCAAATAATGCTGGGCGACAGTCATAGCAAGGAGATGAAGCACTGTTGAAATATGGGGAAAGCCAAAAACTGTGCTTCCTCCACTTCCGTAACATTGATTCATTAATGTTGAATTCTCTCGCAGCTGTTCTATTCCCATGTTGTTGCAGTATATTATTAATAACTAACCTCGTATTGTGGATGAATAATCTCAGTTGTTCTCCTGACTGAAGTTTGGCCCGTGTATAGCATCCTGCTATGCAATTGCATTTGTCCCTGACCACCAGAATCCCTCACGTTAACTTTTATCGAGTGGAAAAAAAGTTGGCATTCATCCTCCAGCTTCACTGGGCTAATGTTATGCTAACATAGCTGTGTCGCTAGCAATAACGTAGCACAACATTATATAGCCCAACTTCAGTAACCCTGCAAACGCCACTGCTGTTTAGTTTTCTGTCTTCATTTATGTTGGAAGTGATAACAGAGCTGTACGTTTTAATTTGTTTCCAAAACCCCGCAGTCAGGACATGCTATATTGTATTTAGATAGAAGCTAGCGAGCTAACTTCCTGCTAACTTCTAACTCCGTTAAATGTCATAACTTCCGTTTTCATGGATGCCTGGATGTTAAACTCAATTGTTACACCCGGTAGAGCAGAACGCTGATCATTTTATTAAAGATGAAAGACTTTAGACAGTTTTTCAACTCTCAGTAATGCCATAGTGATCGTTTGGTATATGGACCTGCAGCGGAGTTTAGGCCCAGACACAGTGTTGCCAACTCCTCAGTAAGGAAAATCGCTATTGGCTGTCCTAAAAGTCGCTAGAAGTCGCCAAATGACGTCATCGCCTAATTTGCATAATTGGTCATGCTAATGTAATTGTAACCTACGCTGTTGGAGAGAGAAATAACATCGTGGAAGAGACATAAAGTGAGTAAAAAAACGTCCTAAATGCAGTTAGAATTTAATTAGAACTACAAATTAAATTTCTTTTAGCTATTATTGTTTTTTAATGTCACAATTCCAACCCTGCTCCTTTATCCAGGCCTGGACCAGCAAAAGTGACCCGAAATTGGCACTCTGGTGGAGTTACTTTGTGTGTGAGAGTGTGTGTTTATAAGTAGTTTTAAACCTTGTGATCCACAAAACAGCATAAGAGTAAAAGAAGAACTGACTGTGTTACAGTCAGTGCGGGAGCAGCAGCTTCGCTCATGCACGATTCATTTGCAGTTTGGACGCACAGGTGTGAACGTCTCCTGCCCTGATAGCAGCTGGGAGAGGACTATCCTCTGCCTGTGAGTGCTTTGGCACGGGTGAGGTGCTCAAGGCAGCACCGCTGCTTCTTGAGAGTAAGAGCAATACGCGTTTTCACGTCAAAAAGTCGTTATAAATAAGTCTCCAATAATAGCAGAGAAAGTCGCCAGATTTGTCGCTAGTCGCTTTTTAGAAAAAAAGTCGCTAAGGGGGTCTGAAAACTCGCTAAATATAGCGACAAAGTCGCTAAGTTGGCAACACTGCCCAGA